TTTGACCAATGTCACCCCAATAAAATTTAATAAAAATAAAAAACAAAGCAACTGAATGAGCCACCAGCACTTGAAGCTCAGTGCCTGGCATATTATAAGCATTCAACAAATATTTGTTCAAGGAATGATTGTATAGAATCTCTAAATTCTGTCTTTGTCAAATCTATGCCATCTCTCCCAGTGGAACTGCTTATTCATTGTTGCCATCACTCTGGTTTAGCCTTTTGCTGCTTCTTGCTCATTTATTATGATATATTGGTTAGATAGAGACAGAACCATCATTCTAGTCCATTGTTTTTCACAGATGTCAGGTTTAAATCCCTAAAGTGCAGCCCTGATCCCACTCTTCAAGTAGCTTCCTTTTGCCTTTACATGAATACAGATTACTTAACTTGTCAATTAAGGTCATTGACACTAATTTTCATCGCCTTTCTTGTCTGATTTCCTACCTTCCCTAAATAGGCCCTACAGCAGTGGTTCTCAACCTTGGCTGCACGTTAGAATCACCTGGGAATCTTTTTAAAATCCTGATTTCTGGGCCTCATCCTCCGGAAATTCTGTTTCTTTGTTATGGGGTGGGGCCACCCACCCCATAACAAAGAAACAGAATTTCCGGAGGATGAAGCCCAGAAATCAGGATTTTAAAAAGATTCCCAGGTGATTCTAACGTGCAGCCAAGGTTGAGAACCACTGCCCTACAGGTTCCTACCGTTATGCTTATTTTGCTCCTTCTTGAAGCTTTCTCTTTACCTCTGTTTATGAGACTTGCTAGTCCTCTGCCAATTTTCATTTTAAATATCTCTCACTTAAGTATTCTTTGAACAAATGCAAATGTGCTACCTACTTTGAATCATAAAACTTTATTTTAAACTTTTGTGATGCTTAAAGTGTGCTTTGTGGCCCTCATAAAGATTACTGTATCTCACCTATCTCTGTGTGTTTTGTGCAACCTTCCAAAACACCTTGTGTGTCTCAAGCATCACAACTTGATAAACATTGTTGAGCATGTCCATTGCATAGCCTACTTAATAATAGAAAATGAATTAAAATGTTCTCCAGTTTGTCAGTGATACCCAAAGTTAGATGACTCAAACTATATTTTTAATCATTGTTTGCAATCGTTCTGTAAATATAAACATGTTGATTGTGTAGTTATTCTGTAAAATCTAAGACAATGGCTGTATATCAGAATCAGCTATTGAGGTGCTGAAAAACACTGATGACCAGGGACCAGCCCCAGACCTTGTAAATGAATGAGACTGAGAGCCTGTGCATACAGAATTGGAGAAAGCTCATGTTCATGAACAGAAAGTATAGACAACTATAACTGGTATATTAGAAAATTATATTCTCACATGGAAATTAGAATTTGAACTACTTTATGTATAATTTTGAATTAAATTTTTAAAGACCTCAAGTGCCTCTGTTTTAAAGTTTTGACAGTTCAGTATGTGGATTATTAATACCTTTTGCTTTCAGAGTTTCTTGGTAGGCTCGTCTTTTGAATAGGTATAACCATTAGATAGCCACTAAAGATTGAAAGAAGAAAACAATTAAAATAAAAATTTTTCACAGTTTTGCTGTTTACCATCAGTTTTTTAAAGCAGAAATTATCTTAAAGTTTCAGAACTTTGTCTAAAATTAAGTTTGGGGATTCCCAATACATTTAAACATAGCCTTGGCCGGTTTGGCTCAGTGGATAGAGTGTGGGCCTGTGGACTGAAGGATCCCACGTTCAATGCCCGTCAAGGGCACAAGGCTTGCCCTAGCTGGTTTGGCTCAGTGGATAGAGCGTCGGCCTGCGGACTCAAGGGTCCCGGGTTCGATTCCGGTCAAGGGCATGTACCTTGGTTGCAGGCACATCCACAGTGCGGGGTGTGCAGGAGGCAGCTGATCGATGTTTCTCTCTCATCGATGTTTCTGACTCTCTATCCCGCTCCCTTCCTCTCTGTAAAAAATCAATAAAATATATTTTTTTAAAAAAAGGGCACAAGGCTTGATCCCTGGTCCCTGGGAGACAGCCAATCTATGTGTCTCTCTCACATGGATGTTTCTCTCCCCCTCCCTTCTACTCTCTTTAAAAATCAATAGAAAAAAATCATCTCCTCGGGTGAGGATTAACAAAAAATCAAAAATTTTTAAACATAAATAATTAGCTTTACTACAGTACTGTATAATTGTAGGAACACTTATTAAAGTACCAAGGGATGCGTTTCTCTTTTATTTTAAAGAGAAAAACCAGACTGTATATCAAGTAAGTAAAATCTGTATCTTATTTTGCTCAGATTCTTATCATTTTTCATCGTATGAAAATTATTGTAAACATTTCTAGTATTTCCTTAATATGAGACTGCAAAAGAAACTGATAAAAATTTATAAAGTAGACTCTTTCTGTTTGATGTTAAATCTAAAAAGCATGTAATGATGTTAAAGCATTTTAATTTGGTCCAAGTTAATGCTATAATTTAAAGTACTATATCCTGTCTTTTATGTTATACTTGCTTATACTTTGCATAACAGAGCAAAGCTTTGTTTTTTATAAATAATAAAATATGTATAAAGATTAATATTAAATTAAAGATAAATCCCAGAAATTTTAAATTGTTTAACAAGGAAGCATGTGTGAAAATGAAATAATGTGCTTTTAAAAATATTCCTTTGGGGCAAAAATAAAATATGTGGGTAATTGTGACATCAAGATTGTTTAGTTATTCTTGTTTATTTTTTATCAAATTTATTTTTCTAGAATGAAAATTATTTTTGACCTTGATATAATTTGTACACAAGCAGACATATGTACAACGTTTGCATGTTAAATATTATAAACATATAGTTAATGAAGTTCCCTCATAAAATAAAATTAGGATTATTTTTGTTGGTTCCTCTAAAGATTCAAAGTTTGAATATTTGAAGGGACTCCCCAGACTCCCCAGAGCTAGTCACTTAAGGCTTTTACGTAAAAGCAAAGGATATTGTGCAGCAAGAAAAAGAGCACAGGCAACCCTCGGGGGCCCAGTATAGCCAGGCATAGTGCCCCAGGGTCTTTATTCAGACAGAGACATGCTTTGTCTCCAGATTGAACTACCAACATGTGTGCAATGAATTTTGGCTTCAAGAAAGCTCAAGGCTGAGCCTTTTTTTATCCTTCTAGTCACATAGCCCAACCCGGCTATCTAACCAACTATTCCAGGTGAAAACCATCAGTAAACAAATCCTGGCTGGGGGTTACCTGACAGGTTCAGACATTAAGCAGCACATCATCAATCCCACTTTTTATTTCTTGGCCAGGAATCAAGGGCAGACATCCATTCCCCAAGCTTTATCAATCCAACTGTACAGTAACTCTAGACCACCAGTTCCTGGCGATTAAAAAAAAAAAAGGGAGGGAGGGGGTGCAAGATTATGATGATAGCTTACATTTGTAAAAACTACAATAAAGTTTATAAAGTGTTTTAATATGAATTAACTTATTTAAACATTATGATAATTCTGTAAGCTATGCAGGAAAAAAATGTTTTTATTTCTGTTTTATAGCTGAAATTCTGAGACTCAGAGAGGTTAAGTGATTGATCTAGTTCACATGACTATTATGTTGGTAGAGCCAGGTCTAGACAACAGACCTTATAGCTTTTATTCTAGAATAGTTTTCAGTATTTCATGGCAGAAGTAGATAGAAACAACTATTTACTTCTAACTATCTTCTGGAATAATATAGAAATAAATAAGTATATATGAACTACTACATATTTTCCTCTTCAAAAAACAGGTTTTTTGTGTGTTTTAGAAGACATAATAATTTAAATACTTTAAGAGTTTTTTTTTTAATGACTTACAAAAACAGGTCTTAGGACCATTGTCTCAAATTTTTTTAAATTATGTGGGAGAGAGATTCTGTTTCAAATAAAAGACTCACAAAATTATTCTAGGATTTGCACACTAAATATCAAATTGGATAGGCACGATCTAAGTAAAATATCATGATATACCTGTGATTGTCTCCTTTCCTTTTGTGTTCTCTTTCATTCATTTATTATATATTTACTTCAACTATGTGCTAGATACTATAGTCTCTACTGAGGATTTAATAATTTAAAGAATGTTACCCTTTAATGATCTTAATTTCATTCTTTATAAACTTCAGATTCCATGAAGAGGTATCTGTTAGTTATGTACAAAGTATCATGTATTATGAGGACTGGGATTTTAGGGTCTTTTACCTAGGACAAGTTAGGGAATACTTGAAATGAGACTTTTGAACGAAGTCCGAAAGATTGAAGAAGTTATCATAAAAAGATGGAGGAACATAGTCTAATCAAACAGGTGAAAAAATAGACAAGGATGTGTTTAGGAAACAGTGAGCTAGTAATCTGTTATACCTGGAACATAAATTACATGCGGGAAATTGGCAAGACATGAGACTCTTGAAGGCCAGATGATGGCTAGTCTTACATGCCATGCAGAGGAGTGTTGATTGTGTACCCAAAGAAGTGGAGAATCTAGAAATCATTATTAAACGATAATTTTTATCACTGGATAAAATTTTTGGCAAGTAAGATGCATTATAGAGGATGAATTGAAAAGGAGACCAACAGTGAAGAGGTGAATTTGTAATCTATTGGAATAGTCCTGGAAAGTAATAATGGGGCCAAAGTTTAGACAATGGAAGTGAAAATGGATTACACAATTTAGAGACTATTTAGAAGTAGAATCATTAGGCAAATCAGATAGAAACAAGGAAACCATCTGTTACAGAGGTTTGGTTCACTTGACCACAAGAGCGTTTTAGCAATCTCATATCCAACAACAGGGAGGCGGATTAGATGACCTGCCAAGATAGAAAGGAGGAAGCCATCTATTATACAGATTTGGTCTTAGCAGATTACCCTTCCTAAACATGTATGTGCACAAAAGTCAGTACTCATTTTGCCAAATTTACATTTTCTAATTTTTTACATTCTTTATGGTGTATGAAAACTGTACTAATTTACTTTCTGTTTTAGGCAAGCCAAGTTAGATATGAGAGTTGCAGTTGCAAAAGTGGAACAGTTAACTAAAGTGACTGAAGATTTTCAAGGAGAGATGCAGAAGAAGGTATTTTCTTATTTCTAAGACAAATGATTGATTGCCCATAGCTTAGTGTTTTCTATGTATTTTATTACTGATCTATTTGGATTAGGGGTTAAACAGGACTGCTGGAAAAGGTATTAATCATTTTTTTGCCCTCTAAATATAAAATTAGGCAGCTAAAATATAATATTGGAAATAACTACCAAAACTTACTAGATAGGAAAGTGTAGTTGTTGGCAGTGAGGGCAGTCAGTGAAACTCACTCTCCGTGGACCCAGCTGTTGGATTTAGCAGGCAAAGGCAGAAGGGAGGGAGCAAAAAAGATGCTTAAAAAGATAATGCCTGAAAAATTCCAAACTTTGGTAGAAAATATTAACATCTAAGAATCTCAGTAACCCTAAGTAGGATAAGCACAAAGAAAATCACTTTTAGATACATCCTGACAACACGGACAGCCAGTTATAAAGAGAAGACATGAAAACCGCAACAGAAAAATGGCATAGACAGGAACGGTCATGAGTAATGGCTGACTTCCCATCAAGAAACTGGAAGCAGAAAACATTGGAATAATATATCTGAAGTGCTGAAGGCAAAAGAAAAAAAAAATGCTCACTAAGAATTCTATGTGCAGTGCAACTGTACTTCAGAAATGCAGGCAGAGATGATGGGTCGGGATACACGCTCGAGCTCGTGGTCGCCGGGTCGTAGGGGTCGCAGGGGCCGAAGGCGGCGGAGCCAGAGCTGGAGTCGAAGCCGACATCGGAGCAGGAGCCATGGGCGACGAAACCGGCGGCGCCGGGACGACGAAGGGCGACGGAGGCGGCGAAGCCGGGAGCGCAGGTCGGATTCAGAGGAAGACCAGTGGCAGCGGCGAGGAAGACAGAGCCGGAGCCCACAACCACCTCAGTGGCGCTCACAGGACCAGTCCTCAGTCTGACTCAGGCAGTGAGCGGCAGTGGCAGCACCAGGGCCGCTGGGCCTGCCGCCGGAGGCCGGAGGACCCGCTCTTGCTCCTCCTCATCCAGCTCTGCATCCCCAGATCACTCCCAGAGCTCGAGGGAGGTGGCTGCGGCCCTGAGCCAGCAACAGAACTTGCAGGAGCGGCTGCGGCTACGTGAGGAGCGGAAGCAACAGGAGGAGCTGATGAAGGCCTTCGAGACGCCTGAGGAGAAGCGGGCCCGGCGCCTGGCCAAGAAGGAGGCCAAGGAGAGGAAAAAGCGGGAGAAGATGGGCTGGGGCGAGGAATACATGGGCTATACCAACACCGACAACCCCTTCGGTGACAACAACCTCCTGGGCACCTTCATATGGAACAAGGTGAGCCAGTCGTAGCCACGAAGTGCTTGCTGATTAGTTCTGTGTTTGTGCCATTCACAAATTTTTCCTGCCTTAGTGTTTTTACTTTGTATACGCTTTACAACTTCAATTTCAAGAGATGTTATTTAACACTCACAGCACACATTCCCAGACTGCATTTTGCCGTGCAGAATTTTTTTAAAATATGTTATTGATTTTTAAAAATATTTTATTGATTTTTTAAAAATTTTTTATTGATTAAGTTATTACATATGTGTCCTTATCCCCACATTAGCCCCCATCCCCCAGGCCAAGCTTCGCTCCAAGATTCGAATCCGGGATGGACGGGCCAAGCCCATCGACCTGCTGGCCAAGTACATCAGCACCGAGGACGATGACCTGGCTGTGGAGATGCACGAGCCTTACACTTTCCTCAATGGCCTCACGGTGGCTGACATGGAGGACCTGCTGGAGGATATCCAGGTATACATGGAACTGGAGCAGGGCAAGAATGTGGACTTCTGGTGGGACATGACCATCATCACGGAGGATGAGATCTCTAAGCTCCGCAAGCTGGAGGCCTCTGGCAAGGGCCCAGGCGAGCGACGAGAGGGTGTTAACACCTCGGTCAGCTCAGATGTGCAGTTGGTCTTCAAAGGGAAGACGTACAGCCACCTGCAGGTCATCTTCCAGGGTATTGAGGGCAAGATCCCGGCCGGGGGCCCCAACCTGGACATGGGATACTGGGAGAGCCTCCTGCAACAGCTGCGTGCCCACATGGCACGTGCCAGGCTTCACGAGCGGCACCAGGACGTGCTCCGGCAGAAGCTCTACAAGCTGAAACAGGAGCAGGGCGTGGAGAGTGAGCCGCTGTTCCCCATCCTCAAGCAGGAGCCCCCGTCTCCTGGCCACAGCCTGGAGCCTGAGGACCTGGCCCTGACCCCCCCACCCCCAGGGCCCTCCTTGGAGGGTGGCCCCGTGGAGCCTGAGGCAGAGGAGGCCACACCGGCAGAGGGTGAAGCAGAGGGGGAGGCCGTGCTCATGGAGGAGGACCTGATCCAGCAGAGCCTGGACGACTATGACGCCGGCAAGTACAGCCCCCGGCTGCTCACGGCCCATGAACTGCCACTGGACGCCCACGTGCTGGAGCCCGACAAGGACCTGCAGCGCTTGCAGCTGTCGCGGCAGCAGCTCCAGGTCACAGGCGATGCAAGTGAGAGTGCGAAGGACATCTTCTTCCGGCGGACCAAAGAGGGTATGGGCCAGGACGAAGCACAGTTCAGCGTGGAGATGCCCCTGACGGGCAAAGCCTACCTGTGGGCTGACAAGTACCGGCCTCGCAAGCCACGCTTCTTCAACCGTGTGCACACGGGCTTCGAGTGGAACAAGTAAAACCAGACACATTCTGACTTTGACAACCCACCACCCAAGATAGTGCAAGGCTACAAGTTCAACATCTTCTACCCCGACCTCATCGACAAGCGCTCCACCCCCCAGTACTTCCTGGAGGCCTGCCCCGACAACAAGGACTTCGCCACCCTGCGCTTCCACGCCGGGCCGCCCTACGAGGACATTGCCTTCAAGATCGTCAACCGTGAGTGGGAATACTCATATCACCACCACTTTCGTTGCAGTTCGTGAATGGCATCTTCCAACTCTGGTTCCACTTCAAGCACTACCGTTACCGGCGGTGATGGCCCTGCGTTTTCCCCGACTACCTGACAGGAGTGTTAGGCTGGCAGCCTTCCCTGGCTGGTTCACAGCTCACCTCCAGCTGGGCCTTCCCCTCGCAGCCTCACTTTCCCTGTGTGAACAGCAAGTCAAGGTGGAACTGCCTCAGAGGCTTGAGGGGAGGACGGGATGGCTGGCCCAGGATTCTGACATGCAGGAGGGGCTGCTGGGGGGACTCTTTGAACCCAGGGAACCCAGCAAGTGTCAACCACCCTCCCTGTCCACATGGGCAGAGTGAAGCCCAAGTCCCATCTTAGACAAGCCCTGCAGTGCAGGCCTTGGTGGGGGGGAGGGCGGCGGGGAGGACAGCATGGGGCCCAGACATGGGGTACCGAGCTTTTGAGGAAATCCAAGTTCAGAGTGTTGATGGGCCCTTGGACATAGCCGGCTGTTGCAGGGCCCACACTCCTGGCCCTTTCCCAGCGGCCTCCCTCAGTGCCCACACCAGTGGGACCCGGACCCTTGTGGTGCATGTTCCAAAAGAGACCATTTGAGGGACATGCCACCCACCTCACCCCTGGTGCTGGCTGAGGGTCAGTCTCTCCCCAAGTGGGCATGAAGGACACATCCACCATCAGATCTAGGAGCCAGGGGCCACTGAGAAGTCCTTCCACAGCCACTGAGCACCCAGGAGGCAGCCTCCATGGTACAGCTGCGATGCCTGATCTGGCCTGGGTGTTCCCCTCACCTCAGAACAGCTGTGTTCTTCGAGGCCACCTCCCAGCCACCACAGAGCTGCCCTCCGTGTTCCTGTGTTTCAGACAAGGACAGTCACTCACCCATAGTCAGACTGTCAACGGTACAGCGGGCCAACCACCCCAGAAACATTGCTGTTAGCGCTCTGTTATGAAGACATTTCCAGCCTAAAGGGGAAGAACCGGCACCAAACCCTGAAGTGCCACCTCCCGGCTCCTCAGGCAGCCCCGCCAGTACCCCATTTCATCTGGAAATATTGAGGTTGTTTATCTAAAAAGACTTTTTTTTAGGTGGGGAGGGGAAATCTTGTTTATTTTCATTTATTTGGTCTACTCAGTACATTTTTAAAAAATAAATGCTCTATTTTAGAATAAAAAAAAAAGAAATGCAGGCAAAATAAAGGCATTTTCAGATAAAAACAGAAGTTGTAACTAGCAGAACTGTACTTCAAAAATGCTGAAGAAAATTCTTTAGGCTGAAAGGAAGTGACACCAGATGGCAACTTAGATATAGGAAGAAATCAAGAGCAACAGGAATTATAACTATGAAATAATATATCGACATATTTTTTCTCTTCTCTTATTAACACCTTAAAAGACGACTGCTTTAAAGCAGAACTTAGCACTGTATTTGATGGATTTGTGAAGTATGCAGATGTAAGATATGACAGGCAAGGCACTAAAAACTAGGATGGTATATGGCAATAAATACACTGCTGCAAGGTTTGACATTTTCTCTGAATTCATTAAATATTAACTCTAAGTAAATTGGGGTAAGTTAGAGATGCATTATTATAATCTCTAGAGCAACCCTAAAAAAGTAATTCAAACAGATATAGCTAAAAGCCAATAGAAGAATTAAAATGGTATAAAAAATAACACACCAGAAGATAGGAAAAGACAAACAGAAATTTTTTTAAAGGTTGTTCGAATAAAACCTAAATATATTTTAAAGCATCTCCATGTCAAAGAAGAACTATCCTATTATTATAAAGGATGCAGTATAACCTAGTTAACAGAGCTTGTCTGAAAGGCAGACTGACTGCACTATAGAAATACTGTAGTAGAAATCTATATGCAATGACTATTTTGATTATTGATTATTTAATACAGGATTGATGTTATCTAATACAGGGAGGTTCTCTTCACCATTTTTAGTATACATATTTGTTCCTCAAGTGGTCCTGCTTCTTTAAACTTATAAATTAAATTCTAATAGTGTACTTTAGAGAGTGAACTATTGTCTTTGTGCTGTAGAATGATGAATTGAATTTTCACATACTCAAAATAAGTTTCCAGTTTCTTTATTTTCTAGGAGGAGGATATGGTGTCTTCCCAAAGAAGAGAGGACGCATCAGATAGGCGTTTACAGCAGTTGCAATCTAGTATAAAACAATTAGAAACAAGGTAAATTGTTAAATATGTCTAGCTTTGCCTATACTTTTCAAAAGATATTCTACATTAGAGTATCAGTATGTATTTCATAAGTGCTAAACAAAAAATCCGATATTTTGAACATTATTTACCTAAAAAATGTATTCAAAAGATTGGTATATTTTGAACATATATTCAAAGATCGTTTCTATCTTTACCTTTTCTCTACAGCAATCATAGTTAAGTTTAATCAATCCCAAAATCAAAAAGGTTCTTTTTATCCTGAAGCAGAGAAAAATAATAATGAAGTTGGGTAAAAATCTTATAAAAACCATTTCTTACTAAGCAGATACAAAAGAGAAAAAATACTTGAGAAATCATTATAGATGGTTTCCCTGGAGGTTTCCGAAGCAGTACTTTTCAGTTATCTTTGAAGGTCTAGATACTTTTTATTTTTCATTTTTATTTAATTTTTGTGCTTTAATACTCACCCGAGGATATTTTTCCACTGATTTTTAGAGAAAGTAGGAAGGAAGGCAGGAGAGAGAGACAGAAACATCATTGTGAAAGAAACACATCGATTGGTTGCCTCCCAAATGCATCGTGCCTGGGGCCAGGGATCTAACCCACAACCCAGGTACCTGTCCTTGACCGGGAATCAAACCCGAGACCCTTTGGTGTTCAGGCCAGAGCTCTAACCACTGAGCAGCATCAGCCAGGGCTGGACTACTTCTATAGCTTTGTTTTTCATTGCTATCTTAGTGCAAACATTCACTCTAGAATCTTTTTTTTATTTTGCTCATTTCCTCTTATTAGCTGTTCCCTTAAGAAACTTGAAAATTGTCATTTGTAATCTTTTAACAATATCGTGACCGCAGCCTACCTGTAAATTCACATTATGGTTTAAAAAAAATCTCTTGTATTTTTGTATAAGAGGAAACAGAGTTATTAGTGTCCTTGATATGTGTCTCTAGCATTGTTCAGCCAGTATGTTAAGGTGTGAATGTATCCAATTTAATGGAACTGCCAATTGAAAGGCTGTATTTTTTTTTTAGTATATTTTATAGATTTTTTACAGAGAGGAAGGGAGAGAGATAGATAGCTAGAAACATCGATGGGAGAGAAACATCGATCAGCTGCCTCCTGCACATCTCCCACTGGGGATGTGCCCGCAACCCAGATACATGCCCTTGACCAGAATCGAACCTGGGACCTTTCAGTCCGCAGGCCGACGCTCTATCCACTGAGCCAAACCGGTTTCGGCGAAAAGCTGTATTTTTAATGGTCATCTTACATCCATAAAAGTCAAAGACATTTTGAGCTCAATAAATACTTATTATTATAGTTATTAAAATTATTATTTATAATTAAAATTGTTTGTGATCTTTTCAAATGCCACAAGCATCTAAGAAGCATAAGTCACTTCTTTCTATCTTCCAAAAAAAGGACTCTTTCCTCCTGCTTTTTAGATGATCTGTGGATCCTGCTCTGCTAAATAAGACAGGAGTTAAATGAGTAGCTTAGCTTTGACTCGCTCTTCATAAGCCCTGGTGAGTCCACCTGCTCTGCCTACCTGGGGGCCATGGAGAAGGGAAGGGTGAAGGGATGGTAGGAGAGTGGCAGGTATCCTGGGTCTCTGGGAGAGGCAGAGTGCTTCACCTGTTGCCACAGGTGCTTCAGCCAATTAAGGCAGAATGAATAATGTCCTGCATAGAAATCATTACATTAAAGTATGAGAGGACCAAATTCCATTAAAAGGCAGAGACATGCAGATTTTGATTAAAAAGCAAGGCTCAGTAATATGTTATTTTAGAAAACACCTAAAACAGAGAATAAATGAACTAGAACAAAGATCTTAAGAGGGGAACGCAGAGGATTTATTTTAAATCTATATATATATATAAAAGCCTCCCTAGCCAGTTTGGCTCAGTGGATAGAGTGTCAGCCTACAGACAAAGGGTCCCAGGTTCTGTTCTGGTCCAGGGCACATGCCTGGGTTGTGGGCTCGATCCCCAGTGGGGGCATGTAAGGGAAGCAGCCAATCAGTGATTCTCTCTCATCATTGATGTTTCTATTCCTCTCGCCCTCCCCCTTCCTCTCTGAAATCAATAAAAATATATTAAAAAAAGAAAAGCTTAAGTGACCATCTGACCGGTAACTATGATGCACAATGACCACCAGGGGGCAGATGCTCCAACCGGTAGCTATGACGCGAACTCACCACCAGGGGGCAGACGCTCAATGCAGGAGCTTCTGAGCTGTGGTGACTTGGTAGTTGCAGTTCTCGGGTGACGCAGCCGGAATCAGAGAGGAGGGAGCCCGATTCCAGGGTGTGTCACCCGAAAACCACCCTCTCACAATCCAGGATCCCTCAGGGGATGTCGGAGAGCTGGTTTCGGCCTGATCCCTGCAGGCCAGGCCGAGGGACCCCGCTGGTGCACGGATCTGTGCACCAGGCCTCTAGTTTAAAATAAAGGTTTTAGTATAAAATATTAGCAACTTATGAACAAAGAAAGCAGGAGTGATAATATTGCTATCACAAGGTAGGGTGTAAAGGGAAAAGCAATAAACAGAATAAGAGGGACCTTAAATAATAAAAATAGTACCCTTTTGAAAAAGATAACATTAATAAACCTAAATGCAGCAAATAATAGTACAGCTCAATATGTGATGCAAAAGCCAGAAAGTGCAAAGGTGATTTGATAAAAATACAGTTATGGTCATTATTTTTGGCCATCTGCATCTCATCTCTCTTCCATGTTTGAGGAATTCCCTAGATTTATCTCCAAAAGGGAGACCAGCTAATTCTGTGGGGGAAGTTCTGGGCATGTTCCTTGCTACAAAGCTTCATTCCTGGTTTTCCAGCTCTCCCAGTGAGTCTGTGAATTTACCCTAGTATCCTTTTAATAAACCCTCTTCCACTCAGGTTGGCTTTTGCTGCTGGCAGCTCAGAACCCTGACTAAGTGACGGACCTTAACTCCATTTAGGATTAAGCAGAGGTACTAAACAACAACAACAAAATGTTTAAAAGGAGAGGAATGAAATAAAAAGCAGGCTGACTTCTATCCACTGGAAGTGGGGAGAGTCGGGGTGTGCTAGGGCGCTGGGAAGCTTCCTCCTGGTGCTGTGTATTTGGGGGTGAGGATGGGGATGGGGAGAGGACAGAGCGGGTTTCTCCTGCCGCCACTTAGGGAAAAAATGCCTCAATATAAAGGGAAGGATGAAATGTGAGGAAAGAGTTGTCCTACCGGAACATGTTATTAAAGATTTAGGGGTTAAAAGATGAAAGACATAGCAATCTTTTGAGGAAATCTAGGAGCTTACATTCACAATCTATGGATAAGGGAGATCACCTTTATAAAAAATGAAATCCAAGAAGTTGGAAAAAATAGTCAAATTTAACTGTATTAAAGTGAAATTTTGTCTTGTAATAAAAATTCCCTATGTAGAGTCAACAGGCAACAACAATAAAAATATAGACGTGCAGCATGTAGGACAGATTGAAAGTTAATATCTTAATATTCAAAGAGTTCTTATAAAGGAACAGGCAAAGTAAATAACCCATTAGAAAAAATGGGCAAAGGATATGAAGAAAAATTTAAAGGTGACAGTTCACATGGCTAACAAAATTTTTCAAATATACTTAAACCCTCCAGTAATCAGGGACATACAAATTAACATAAAATTACATCCATCAGAGTAGGAAAGGAAAGAGCTTTTGGATGTACTGTTAGAGGATTTCTACAGGGTATTATTCAATGAGAAAAGCAAGTACGGAAAAGTGATCTTAATTTTTATAACACAAAATAATTACATTTAGAAACCTATGGATCAGTGTGCATATGCTGTGTATGTGTGTATATGATTTTATGAACTTGGAAAACATTCAAAGTTAACATGGGTAATCCTGGTAGAGCATGAGAACCAGGAGCCAAGCAAAAAGGAAAGAAAAAAAAACATATAAATAGGAATAACCACTCATTATTTAAGAATTTGCTTTATAACATTATCATGTAACTATTCTATATTATACCGTGATGCTATAGAAAATGTAACATAATTAGAGTCTGAATATCTAGGCATAGTATCAGCCCCACTGCTTGTTAGCTATACGGCCTCGATCAAATGTTTGACCTCTATTAAAATGGGTCTGTTTTTCTTTAAAGTGGCAATAACAAAATCTACGATGCAGCACTTTTGTGTGAACCAAATGAGAAAATACACATGAAAGTAACTGGAATAATGTTTGTCCTGTAGCAGGTGCTCAGTAAATATGCTATCTCCTTCCTTCTCTTTAAAAATTTTTAACTTTTGCAATGTGACTATTAATATTTAGATTATGTGTGACAGTCCAAGAAGCCACCCAATTAAGAGCAGATAAAACGCATTTGGAAAAACAGACCAGAGAGTTACAAGCAAAGTACAATGAATTAGAAAATGAGAGATATGAAGCTGTTGTAACCGCCAGAAATAGCATGCAACTCTTAGAAGAAGCTAACCTGCAAAAAAACCAGGTAAGAAAACTAGTTAACATGTTTAAAAAAAATAAAATATTGAATATTCCCCCATATGACGTAGTAGGGAATCTATAACTACAGAATAAACACGTGAAAATGACATTGCTATGCTCTCCTTTAATACGCGTACTACATTATTGATGGTAAGACTTAATATCATAAAACATAATAAAGTGTCAGCCCTCTCCAAAAGCTTATGTATACATATCAGACTTTTCTTCTGTCTACAATCCTTGTGTAACTAATCTTCATTCCCTATAGTCTTATACTCTTTAAAAGACCTGTTATAGCCTGGCCAGTGTGGCTCAGTGGCTGATCGTTGACCTGTTAACCAGGAAGTCACAGTTCAATTCCTGGTCAGGGCACATGCCTGGGTGTAGGCTCGATCCCTACTGTGGGGCCTGCAGGAGGCAGCTAATCGATGATTCTCTCTCATCACTGATATTTCTATCTCTCTCGTCCTCTCCCTTCCACTCTGAAATCAATAAAAATATTTTTAAAAGACCTATTACAGCACTTTATTGCAGTATACCCTGTATTTTATTCAGTTGAATTAGATGAATCTTATCTTTATTTCCCCTTTATCACCTACACAATTACTTTAATAGAGCAGAAGCTTAATTGACAGGAATTAAATTTAGCTGCAGAGATTTATTAACTGGAGCCTTTATTTCACTTTTTTGAACCTTCTAACAATTGTCTCCGATGTTATCACATATCATATTTTTTCTTTTACCACTTCCATATGAATGGTATATAGTTTATAGAAATCATAAAGCATGCATATTTGTTTTTAATGTTGCTGCCTTCCTTATGTAGAGATCATTAATTCGTTTAACCAGCATTTATTGAATGCCTAGTATATGTGTAATAATGCTGGGAAATACAATGAAAATGCTTTATTTTAAGTTTCCTTTCTTACAGAGTAGAGGGTTTTCCAAGAGTGCTATTAAAAACAAAGCAAGCTATAAGTTGTATATTAAGAAGCTAATAAGAAATAAAAAATAAATAATTATCCAAATTTAAACTGTGGGAATGCTAATCTTCCCATCTGAATGCTGTCTGCTAGAATGGTTGAAATGCGCAAAATAGACATAAAATGCTTAGGAATTTCTCTTAACACCTAAATTAGCTTAAAAATTAAGAGCAGTTCTCTTAATTTCTTCTTTGATAATTACTCCAAATTGACTCCTGAGTGGTCAGTATGGAGATCGTGGTGGTGAAAGCCTGATTGGCATGGGTTGAAGGGGAAATTTCTTCTTAGTTCTTCTTTGCCCTCTGAATCCTAGTTATATGAGCATTCTTGACATCAGGTTGTGAAAGATGAACATTTTGTGTAGAGCAGATGGACAGAAGGTGGGGACACTCATTGCCTAACCCCGTGGTTGGCAAACTGCGGCTCGAGAGCCACATGCAGCTCTTTGGCCCCTTGAGTATGGCTCTTCCACAAAATACCACATATGCCCGGACGTACAGTGCGATTGAAAGTTCGTGGCCCATGCGCAGAAGTCGGTTTTCGGCCTGGGCAAGTCTATTTTGAAGAAGTACTGTTGATATTTGGGTCTGTTGACTAATGAGTTTGCCGACCACTGGCCTAACCCTCAAATCTTCTCACCCAAGCCCTAAGTTAGCAGACCCTTATAGAGACTGTCTATGGCTACAGTATGAAGCTGCCTTTTGACTCATTGCTTAATTACTAAAGGGTTCTCTCCTTCAGTTGCTTGTCCCAAGAAGTCAAGGGTTCTTTAAACTGGTCACACAAACAGACATGAAGCACGGCCCAGCATAGTTCTCTTTCGATGATTCCCCCTATCCTCAGTGTTTCCTTCTCCCCCACCAGGTTGTCACAGCCAAACAGCTGTTACTCTTACTAGCTTACCTATTTAAGCAGGAGGGAAGTTATTAAACGATTTTTTAAAAAAGAGATGGGAATGTGTGTGGTACCTTTGAAAGATAGTAGGATCTGAACAGAAGGCTGCTTATTATGGGATGATAAGAGAGAGAGAAAGAGAGAGAGAGAGAGAGAGAGAGAGAGAGAGAGAGAGAGATTAATTGAGATTGATTGATTGATTCAGGGCTCAGAAAGATATTTGGGCTGGAGAGGTAAATTTGGGAATTGTTGGCATCTAAGTGATATTTAAAATAATGATATTGGATTAGACCACCAAGGATGGACATAGGTGGACAAAGGACCAAGGCCTGAGTCTAATATCAAAGAAGTTGAGAAGAGGAAAAAGCAATAACACAGACTGAAAAGGAATGGTGAGTTAGGAAAACCAAATTGGATGCACAAAAAGCCAAATAAGAAAGTAAAACAAGGGGGAAAGTAACCCATTATCTCAAGTGTTGCTGACAGATTAAATAAGATAATTACTCCACATTGACTCCTGAGTGGGCAGTATGGAGATTGTGGTGGTGAAAGCCTGATTGGCATGGGTTGAAGGAGAAAGTGTTGGAGACCAGGAGTTTCCTCCATAGGGAGGCAGAGAGATGAGTGTGACTGACAACAGAACTGGGAGTATAAGGCTATTTTTTAGGTGGGAGATGAAAATGATGTGAGGGATAGAAACACATCAAGAAGACAGAGCAGGTGGCATCTACAGTGATTGAGGTGTGAGGTGACAAGGGACTAAATGGGAATAATACCAAATAATGAATAGAAAGGGAAATCCAAGAGATTTTCCAAGAATGAAACACTTGGACTTGAGGACTTATTTTGTAAAGGGACTGATGGAGAAGAAAAATTCAGAAATGATTCTAAGACCTCCAGCTGTAAAGATTAGAGAGTGATGGCACTGGCTGAAATAAATACCAAAGGAAAATGATAAATTTTAGTTAGGATAAGGTCAGGTGAGGAGGTTAGAGAAAATAAATACCACTCATAACTGAGGTAAGAACTCCAAGTGGAGATGTCTCAAAAGTTTAAAATAAGATGTTTGCTTTCAAGAAGGGTGTAGGTGGATAAGTTTTTACCCATTTATTATGTTATCTTTATTAATTATGTGACCTGTAATAGCATCAATTATATTCTGCAGGCTCTGCTTGAGGAGAAGCAAAAAGAAGAAGATATAGAGAAAATAAAAAAATCATTTTCTCAGTTAATGCAAGAGGCTGCCACAAGAGCCAAGAAGGAAGTAAGGGGCTTTTAATTATATTTAAAATTCAAAATTTTACAGCTTAAGACTCAATACTACCTAAGTTTTGCCTGATGGACCTAGTTACTTAAATATCAGCTAATTGCATCAATGTACCAAATTTCAAATAAAAACCATCTCAGGATAGTAGCACCTACAATTTGAGGTGGAGTGGGACAGCAGCCGAGGGGAAATGGCAGAGTGATGTGTATACACACCTCCCACCTCCCATCCCGCCATATCAGGAAGCTGTAATGTCAGGGTATGCATTGGTGATGCTAAGCTTGACCACGTGGTTAAGTTAGTAAGATCAAATTTCTCCATTGTTACTTAATAAATAATTGGGGGAGATTCTTGAAAACCATGCAAGTATCCTTTTTCACCAAAATCTTTCATCCAGTGGTCTTGTCATTCATTGATAGTTCTTGCCAGAAATAAATGTTATATGGAGTGATTAAAATGCTAATATTCTATTCTTTCTATACATTTATAAGCTGTCATTTTTTCACTAAAGAAGAAGTGCCCTGCCCCTCTCTTTAATATCTGTGAATTTATTTTATATTACCATCAGTCTTTTTATTCTCAAACTAGAGGCCCAGTGCATGAGATTTATGCACTGGCGGGGGGGGGGGGGGGGGGGTACCTCAGCCCCACTTGTGCCCTCTCATAGTCTGGGACCCCTCGGGAGATAACCACCTGCTGGCTTAGGCACGCTCCCCAGGTGGCAGATGGCTCCCCTCCGCCCGGTTCCCACCCCACACTCTGCCCTTACCACCCCCCCACTGTCCTCATCGATTGGTGTACAATCCACCGCTGCTGGGCTTGCCAGCTGAACCCTGCTTCTGGCTGAGCGGCTCTCCTGCTGTGGGAGTGCACTGACCACCAGGGGGAAGTTCCTGCGTTGAGCGTCTGCCCCCTGGTGGTCAGTACGTGTCATAGCGACCGGTCATTTGCTATTTGGTCGATTTGCATATTATGCTTTTATTATATAGGATTGTCTCTCTAGCTTTCTTGCATAAGTAATGTTCCTCTCTCATCCTGTGCTTTCCCTGTCTCAGACCTGGAATCAGCCAATTTTTCAAGAAGCCTTGGTTGTAATTTTTAAGTTGACACTTTTGTCAGAGATAAGGTTTAGAAAAAGCAGAAATTTATAGTTTAATTTTTACTATAATATTTACATTAAAATCCTTGCCTACATATTTATAAAGACTTATCAATTAAATGATTAACGTAAATTATTGTAAAATAATACCTTTTTTTCTTAATGAGCTCCCATACACCTCCAGCTAATATAATATTGTATGCCAGCTGTATTTAATAAAAAATAAATTTGCCTGGCCAATTTGTTCAGTGGTTGAGCATTGACCTATGAACCAGGAGGTCACAGTTTGATTCCCAGTCAAGGCACATGCCTGGGTTGAGGGCTTGATCCCCAGTGGAGGGTGTGCAGGAGGTAGCCGATCAATGATTCTCTCTCATATCTCTCTTTCTCCCTTCCTCTCTAAAATCAATAAAAATATATTTTAAAAATAAATAAATTTAATAAATAAGAAAAGTTAGCTCCTATAGAAAATAGTTAGATATACTGTGTATTCCTTCACTGGGTGTTAACTATCATCATATATATGTGATGAAACTGTTTTTTTCAAAGTGCTCATGATATGAGACATCCTCTAATTGATTTCTAATTCTGAAATAAATTCACATTAGTTTTATGGTCAATGGAGGTTGTCTTTTGCATGAATCCTTTAATAATCTCTGTAATTTTTTCAAAAGTGTTGTGATCTCTATATTCAGTCCAAACCTTTCTGCAAACATGAGTATTCAGCTGCCTCCTAAAAATCTAGTTTCTCCCTACCTAAAGATCTTTCAGGCCTCTGTTCAACCTGTTAGGTCTTTTGAGGCAGACATTATGGAAATTTGCAAAAATGTAAAATAATCCCACTCTTCTCAAAATATTTTAGAAATTACTTACTTTTTAGAAAATATATTATTTGTACTAACCTGTAAAAACCTTAGTTATTGTTAGTTATGAAGGAATTAATAAGTAAATATTTTGAAATTTTCTGTTTTAATCTCTAATATGGTACATTTCAATAGAAAAAAATACACATCATAAACAAAAGATCTCTGTTTTTATTGTGTAAAAGGATCCTGGACCAAAATGCTTCATAAACACTGTCCTTTATCTTAGTCTCTTTCCTCCCACTCCATGATAAATTCTTGATTCTTTAATATATCATGTGCTTATTTGTCTTTTATGCCCTAAAAGTTACAACTTTATTTTTTATCAAAATTATTATTCTAAATGTGTATATTAGATATTATTAATTTTTATTTTAGAGCTGAATAGTTCATAAATATCTTAATTTACAGATTTTCAATACAAGAAAACAATATCATGTACAGATTTCTCAACTAACAGAAGAACTGTCAGTCCTTCAGATGGTATGTTAAAAGCCTGTATTGATATTTTCTTCTGAAATTGCTTACCTTAAAGGGCAAGAGACATAGTATTGGACCTAGTTCATTCAAAAGGTGCTTATTAAGACAAGATCTATGCTAGATGCTAGGAACAGAGAGGAAATCAAGATGAACATGTTATCTGAAGTCTTGGAACTTACAATCTAGCAGGAAAGATGGATGGCATTTATCACATCTACTCTGATTACCTGTCTTTGACAAAGAATGCACCTGGCATGAGTGAAGCAGCCACCCAGCTACAACTGCTACCACATGCTGGGTTCACATGGGAGACCAGGGAGAACGAAAAGGTATATATGAGAGTGAGAAGGAAGCTAGACAAGCTTCCCAAAGGAAGGAGTACCGAAGGATGAGTAGGCAAAGAGGGGTGAGGAAAAGAGTTCTTGTGTGGCTAGAGGTGGATTAAATAAATAAATTTAACTTGAAGATAGATGAAATGGAATTTAACAACCTTTCTTACAGGGGAATAAAGGTATAAGAATTTCTGAAGTTGGGAGGATATCTGATTGGTATTTAATCACCCCAGAGAGAAGGATCACATCTTCTCCACATTATGCAAACTCTAGTGTGCATAATGGGAACTTAGTCATGTGCATAGGTCCTGAGACCAATAGAACAACAAACAGTGTTACTTTTTGTCTGTTTAGTGTCATTTGTTTTAAGGATATAGAAACATTAGGTAAAATTAATGGGATGTAGTGTGGCAAATTAGTCATGTCTAATTCTTTGGGGTTTTTGTTTTGTTTTGGTTTTTTTCTCTTTCTATCGCTCTGCTATTTTGCTTATTCTCTTACATGGAGTGATTTAGCTTTCAAAGGATTAACAGCTTCGAGGAAGAAGGACCTGCCTTAGTCCAGGATTATTTAATGGATTGTAAACTCTGGAAGGACAAGAACATGTGTCCTTATATTTTCCCAAAAGAACATGTACTAGATAAGACCTGCAGGGATTTTAAAAATAACTGTTTGCTGTGTAATAACCAGAGCTCTGTCAACTCACTTTAGAGTAAAAAAAATTATAATTTCAGGTTATTTTCATACATGTTTCTTGGGCTTTACAGTGAAACAATTCTAATTCATAGGTAAGTGGCTTTTACTAAAAATATTAAATGTTATCTGATATCATGTTGATTCCATTAGGAAAACTGTACTGACTAATTGAAAGTGTTTACTATTGCCTATGAGTGTTTCTGTTACTATGAGGTTTTGTTTGTTTGTTTGTTCATTTTTTGCTTTCAGTTTTATATCTCACATATGAGTGAAATCATATGGTTTCTAACTTTTCCTGTCTGACTAATTTTGCTAGCATGATATTCTCAAGGTCCATCCATGTTGTTGCAAATGGCAGTATTTCATCTTTTCTTCTGGCTGAGTAGTAGTATTCCATTGTATATCTCACCCCAATAAATGTAATAAAAAGAAAGAAAAAGAGAAAAGTGTTTAAATTAAGCATTTATATTTTCTCAGGAAACTCAGGCTACAGATTAGGAAAAAATATTTGCAAAAGACACATCTGATAAAAGTCTCATCCAGAATATACAAAGAAGTCTTAAAATTCAACAATAAGAAAACAAATAATTCGACTGAAAAATGGACCAAAGACCTTAATAGACACCTCACTGAAAAAGATAAACAGATATAAAGTAAGCTTATGAGAAGTTGCTCCATATCATATGCCACCAGGAAAATGCAAACTAAAACAACAGTGTGATACCACTCATTACACCAAGTAGGTGCCAGATACACTTATTGGAATGGCCAAAATCCAGAACACCAACACTGGCAAAGGTGTGGAGCAACAGGAACCTTCATTCATTGCTGGTGGGAATGAAAAGTGGAACAGCCACTTTTGAAGGCAGTTTGGTGGTTTCTTACAAAACTGAAGATACCCCTACACATGATCCAACAATTTCACTCCTCTTTATGTACCCAAACAAGTTGAAAACTTATGTCCACACAAAAACCTGCACATGACTATTTATAGAAACTTTTTTCATAATTTCTAAAACTTGGAAGCACCAAGACATCATTTACTATGTGAATGGATAAATGAACTGTCTAGACAATGGAATATTATTTAACACTAAAAGGAAATGAGCTATCAAGCCATAGAAAGACATCGAGGAAACTTATATGCATACTAGAGGCCCAGTGCACGAAATTCGTGTATAGGTAGGGTCCCTAGTGGCTGCTGGCTGCCGGCTGGGGCCTCCCTTCCCCCGGCTGCCTGCCACCGCTGCCAGTCGGGGCCTCCCTTCGCACCCACCTTGGCCTGGCACTGCCCACTCACCTGCTCCACCATCCCACCATGGTCCTGTTCTCATCAGGGCCCTTTAGGGCCAGCAGCACCTCCGCTGCCACCCACTGCCAGCACCATGTCGCCAACGCCCGCCATGTTCTGCGCTGCCCCCTGGTGGTCAGCACACGTCTAACTTCCAGTTGGTCAAACTCCCGCCCATAGGGACAATTTGCATATTAGCCTTTTATTATATAGGATTACTGAGTGAAAGAACCTCAAATGAAAAGGCTGCATACATCCTGTATAATTCCAACTATTTGGCATTCTGGAGGTGAAATTATGGAGACAGTAAAAAGATCAGTGGTTATCAGAGATTGAGGAGAGAAAAATAAATAGGTGTAGGCATAGCATAGAGAATTTTTAGGAAAGTAAAACTACTCTGGCCCTAGCCGGTTTTGCTCAGTAGTTAGAGCATCGGCCCACATACTGAAGGCTAGCAGGCTCGATTCTGGTCAAGGGCATGTACCTCAGTTGCAGGCTCAAACCCTGGCCCCAGTCAGGGCACTTGCAGGGGTCAACCAATTGATGTGTCTCTCACATTGATGTTTCTCTCTGTCTCTACCCCTCCCTTCCACTCTCTCTAAAAATCAATAGAAAAAATAACCTCTGGTGAGGATTAACAACAACAACATAAACCAACTACTATGTATGGTGCTATAATGGTGGATACATGTCATTATAAATGTATCCAAACCCATAGCATGTACAACACTAAAAGCTAATTCTTGTGTAGCCTGCGGACTTTGGATGATAATGTTGTATCAGTGAAGGTTCATCATTTTAACAAATGTACCACTATATTGTGAGATGTTGATGATGGGGAGGTTATGCATGTATGGGGGGCAGGAATTCTAATGGAAATCTCTGTAACTTCTACTCAATTTTGCTGTGAATCTAAAATGTCTCTAAAAAATAGTGTCTTTAAAAAAATCACATAGGATGAATTATGAACATAGGAGAAATCCCAAGTTTCACACCATAAAACTATCTTTTTCATAGATTAGCAACTCACTATATGAATATATATGGAACATTAAAGTTTTATTTCTGATACACTTAGTCTATCTTAATAAAATATGATTAATGTAGATTACTCATCTGATTTGTAGCATAGGGTTAAAGGTCTTATTATAATCAGAGTTAATTAATTATGGGTCACAATTTAGAGGTTCATTTAAAAATTTTAAAATATATTGATAAAATTGATGATGAAGTTATAAAGATAATTGAATATTAATTAGCATTGTACTGTCAGCAAAGCAGGATCATCCAAAGCATCTACACTAATAAAAGAGAAACATGGTAATTGGCGTACGACTGCTACCCTTTTCATTGGCTAATCAGTGAGTATATGCAAATTAACTGTCAGCCAAGATGGCGACCCGCAGCTATGCACTGAAGCGAGCAGGGAGGCTTACTTGCTTCAGTCGACTCCAACTAACTTGCCGGCCTCTCAGCTGCAACTCTAAGCAACTATTACTATGTTGCAAATAAGAAACTAAACAAACCCCCAGAAACAACTTGTCAGTCAGCCCC